TCTGCACAAACCCCAAACATAGCCCCATACTAGCCTCTGTGAAGAACGTTAACTCTACTTCAGTTCAAACCAGCACAAGAAGAGAAAGTTTGTGTTGGATTTTTAGAAACTGTCTTACTAGTAGAAAAGTTTAATTTATAGCTATTTACCATTTTTGTGGTAAATAGTAAGAATGTTATGAGGCTCACTTAGACACTTTGAAACTATAAGGAAGAACTTTGGAGTCTGAGTACTTAATGCTCATGAATGTTAATTGTAATGGGGCAATGGGTGTCCTCCAGGCAGTTCAGTGTTTGTCGGAAGATTTTCGTCCTCTGTCCTGCAGAAAGACACTGATATGAGAGCTGTCATACTGCCAGTATGTATTGTGCCTCTGAATACAGAAGAAAATGCCCTTCCTTAAGAGCTTCTATTCACTCTGGCTTCCTTTCATTGCAGGGTATTTAAATATGGCAGTTTTTCTTCAAGTACTCAACACGGGTACACAGTGTGGAGGTCTAGAGAGAGCAGAGTAATTCTTACTTGCACAGAGGCAGTCAGAGGTTTGGTTTGAGGTCAAAATGCTAAAGTCAAAGATAATGATGAGTGTCTGCCTTTGGACAGGCAGAATCTGGCTGCTGGCGACTCTCTCCCAAGCAAGCCCTTCATATTTCTTTTATCCCCTGCAATACAACCTCCCCTCGTCCCTACATCTCTTTCTCTCCCCAGTCTGCCCTGTATATACACTTTCTGACTTGGTGTGCTTACTTGGAGGCTGGGATCTGGAGAGGCTGCTGAGCTGGAAGAGGAGTGGCCAAATCACAGTGTGCAGCAGAGAGCTGCTCCTGCTGAGCCGCTGTCTCTCTGGCAGCCCTGCCCAGCACTGTGTGGTCTCTTTCAGCTGGAGCACCTCACAGCAGCACGGGGTCCTGGATGCATCATCTTGCACCAGCAGTGGATAGAAAGAGCTGTGCAGCAGTTGTGAGAGGGACTGGGAGCGCTCCACCCTGCTGTCACTCTGAGCCTGGTGATTATTCTTCAGTCTTGTGGGAGGAAGACATGGGTTCCAGTTTCTTTAGAGGAGGCAGTTGCTGCACCCCTTTGCTGTCAGGGCAGCGTGCAGCAGGGATAGGGATGACAGCAATGCTACCTCTGCCCTCCCAGGGCATGTTCAGTGACAAAAGTCGAGTGTCACACTGAGCTCCAGAACAGGGTTGGTTGGCATTGAGGTTCCTGGGTTCTTGCTGAGAGTTAGTTTGGTGAAATGTGCCTCTGCTGGTTATTTTGCCTTGGGTAAATGAAGCAGCAGGATCTTGGCAGCTCAGCTTTTGCAGGTCCCCTATTCTTTACTTAACCAAGGAACCTGACAAATGAGCCTGGGCAGCTGTCTGCTTCTGTAGGCAGGAGAACAGGTTGTCTCTTACCTACCCAGGCAACTCAGCAGGACAATGACATGTGTACAGCTGTACGTATACCTTGGTTTGCACTACTTTGCTGAACTGAATGCTGTGGTGGTTTAGACATTTTTGCTGCCCCTGCTTTAACAGGTGTAATCTGCAGAGGGGTGGACAACTGTGGACAGCATCTTAGCTTCCTTTACCAAAGACCATCCAAGAGGACTACCTGCTGCACAGAGGTCTTCATACCATCTGACAGCAACAGGTCCCACAGGATGCCCTCAGTAAAGCAAATTAAGTGAGTGCACACATGCACATGAGCCACAAGAACCCTTTTTCTCACCATCACCTCTCCCATTCTAACAGCAAGGCTCTTCTCAACCTGCAGCTACCACCTGCCTGGCCACTAAAATGACTTGTTCCAAGAATTGAGTGTCCCTACCAAGTGAGGGAGGACTGGTGATCACTTTTTGTATCACATCTTTTTGTCTAAGAATTATTTGCTTTCAAATTCTTAGTTATAGATGATTTATCAATGTGTACATGTCTGTGAGAGCCTGAGATCTGTCATAAACAAACACAGTAAAAAATAATTGGTAATTGCAAGCCCTTTTCCTTATTTTCCACCTGTGTTGCCAGTAACCTAGCTGTACACTGACATTTTTCCTACCTTATGGAAACTTAATGCAAGCAGCACTTGAATTTTCCTATTTAATGCAGACAACATGCCTTTGTTTTCACAGTGATCTAGAGATTATCTAAGATAGTCTTTCACAACTGTTCCTGTGAAGGTTCTGGTGTCAGCCTTTGCCTGTAGCAGATGAAGACAAATACACAGCTTGGCAGTGGCAGCTGTAATTTTCTCCAGCTGTGGTCATCTCTGACTGAGGCTTTGCAGAGCTGCACTTTAAAAGAACAGATTCCTGGGCCTGGCAATTTTGGAGGTAGTTCTGAAAAACAGAGTCAAACCCATGATGCAAAAGATGGAAAATGGTTAGGTCAGGTGACCACAAAAATGGGCCAGAAATAGTAAGCAAACTGCAATTTTTATATAAGTCTTTCTGTGTTCTGGGTAAAATAGGGAAACACTGGCTTGTTTGCAATTCTACTAGAAATCTTTTTATGTTACCATTTGTGAAAGGTATTTTCTCTAATCTTGCAAACAATTTTGGTGCAAATAATTTGGGGATATTACTGTGAACTAAAATTGTGATTAGTGCTGTTGACATAGCTTTTAAGAATTCATGTTAAATTCAGCAGACCATTTTCTCTGAGAGACCAAATCTTTCTCCCCTAAGTGCTGGATTTAGTTATCCAAATAGTGAATATGTGGTTAATGAAGGCTCAGTGTCACATAAATATTTAACTGCGAGCATAAACAATAAAATTGGTGGTTTTTTCTTTTTTTTTTTTTATATCTTTTTTCTCCCTTCCTGTTATTGCATCAAACTTAAAAAGATTTGCACGTTTGAAAACTGAACCATCTCAGCTGAAGGCCACTGAACAGAGAGACATTCTGGAGCTGGGAGACAGGCCTGTGCAAACCTTGTGTGCTTCCAGCAGCAGAATGGAGTTACTGTCTACCATTGCTCCCACACGTATTTCCAGTTTCGTTGCCAAAGCTTTTGGTAGAAGGTGAGGGTTTGAGTCCTCTTCTTGTAGATTACAACTGAGATAGCTATTTTTTTTTTAAATCTCTTACCCCTTCCAGGTGTAGCCTACAACATCTGGAACTGCCTCCCAGACGACTCCCACTTCCTGACTGGTCAATGCACTACAGCAGGCTGAAAAATGTGGATGCCAACAAATGGCCTCTACCAGGTTATGCAGACAGTGGGAGTCACAGCTTAACTCTCTGAATCAAATCTATGAGAACGCTGAATTTCAACACAAATTCCTTGGCATGTTGTCTGGAAAACAAATAGGTTTTTTTTGTAGCTCAATTAGGATAAAAAGCAGTTCAGGAACTCATCACATGGTTCCTAAAGGAGCAGTCAGAAGGAAATAAGTGGAACTGAGCCCAGGGGACAACTACAAAGGATCACAGCTGTAAGTGCAAGAAACCTCTTAAGACATTATGAGCAGCCTTGAGATTCTGTCAGATCTAGCCCATCTTTAAGTTTGAAAAGCTGCATGCTCAGGGAGCAAACATCGGTGCCTTAAAAATGCCATGAGCTTCAGTGTCTTTTTTTCTCCATTCGTATTTTATTTCTTATATAAAGGATGATAAAGTACCTTTATATTAACTATGAGAACAAACAGAGAAGCAGAAATTCTCCAGCTTCAGGGAACTAGTTTGTCTAGTAACAGTTAAAAAATACAAAAGAATCCCAAATTAGTAACATTCCCAAACCCGAATTTCTTTCTCAAAATTGACAACAACAAAGGTTAATCTATTTCTTCTCAAAGAGTTCAAGAATTTAACAAAGTATGTGTAATATGCAAATCCTCATCCCATTCAAAAGAATTTAAGACGTGTTTGTCCATCACTTCTTCCAGGGACTCTTTCGTATGTCAGTCTCCTTTTTTTGAAGTCTGGTAGTTCTGGAAATCCTGAATCTGGAAAAGAAGTGGAAAAAACCCCTGTGATAAACTACAAATACAACATGTATGCAGGTTAACTGTGTCTTTCTGTTCAGCTTTAACCACTGCATTCTGTATGAAAAGAATCGACTGCCATAAAATAAAGCGTGTTCAGATTAACACTAACTGCTGCTGACCAGTTTCATGCATGTTGCCCTGTATAATAATACAGGACCTTAGACAAAATAAGTACATCAAACTACACTATACTTAACCACCATGTTTCAGAAGAGATTTAAATTTGAGAAGTTGCTTATTCAAAGCAAGTTACTGTAACAAAGTTCTGTTTAGACTTTACAAAAAGTATCATCAGAAAACTTTTAACACTGACCTAAGGATTTAATCTGTTCCAGTGGAAAAACTGGCTTGGCATGGTGTCATTAATTGTCTGTGGTTTAATGAAGCTTGGTCTGAAGTCTGAAGAAATCCCTGGGGGTTCCAAATGTGTCTTTTTAACTCTACTCTGTATGTATTTCTTAAAATTGGGGTTCTATGTTTATTTTTCTTAAATTTGGGATTTCAGAGGCTTTCACTGTATTATGGTAAGGTTAGCTATTTTGGGGTGGGTCCCTCCAAAATCTAAACCAAAAATGACTTTTTTTTTTTTTTTAAATTTGATTCAGAGTCAAGTATACCTTTGCCTTACAGGGCAAGAATATTATAGAAACCTTATCAGTTGGGGATCACAGTATTTTCAGAATACTGTAAAATGTGGTACCAGAAGAATCTGCCCTGAAACTAGTGTGTTTAGGATTTTATTCTATCAATGCCAGTTGCAGGGTACTGAAATACTTGTTAACTGCTCAGCAATATTACAGGTCTCAATTTTAATCCCAACATAAGGGGAATAGGTCTGTTTCTGTATGAACATTTACATTTACACAGGCTGAAAATTAAAAGAAATTCACCACATCCAATTAACTTTTCCTCTCTCTACTTCCATAATTACCTTAAGCAACCCATGAAACATAGTGATTTAGATTAGTTACTTATGGTTTGATGAATGAATCTGGTCTAATTAGTGAAAGCATTTTAATGCTGTGCTGACCTTGTAATACCACCAAGAGATTTAATAACAGGCAGAAGCAGAGAAACCATGATCTAAGTCATCTGTACTAGGAGTTAGACACCTTATTGGATCATTAAAAGAATGTGGCACCTCACCTACAGGGAAGCAAAAGTATTTTAAGAAATACCACAGTAAATGATACAGCAGTACATAGTCTGACAGGGACTAGTGATGCTTTCTTACTTGCAAGGTTCCATGGACACATATTATGACTCATTGAAAAAAAGTTCCAAGCTAACTGTAGTTAAGAGAGTAAACCAGGGGTATGGAAAATACAGAAAAAGAGAAGATTGAATATTTTGTATAAGGACTGTACACACTTTCAGGGTAAACAAAGTTTTGAAGTGCACACTACACCATCTATTTGAAGAAATGTGCTTTGGGATGATTTCAAGTGGAGAGTTTAGCCCTAGAGACATTAGCTAAAAAACTATTTCAGGAATAAGGGAACTGTAGGAAACAAGCTTTAGAAAATAAGAGTGCCATTTTTGCCTCGTTAATGCCAACAGCAAAACACAGCCATTAGTAGTATCTAAATTTCACTCTCTGAACTTGCTGAATCTACTTTTTGTCCTATAGAGAAAATACTTCACAGTCTTTTTTTCACTCTTGTGTCCAAATCTATGTTTACAAAATAATCTTTAAAGATAATTCCGGCATGTTTATTACGCATATTTCAGGCCCTGTCAAAGAGAGAAACGGCTGACTCTTACAGCACTGGAGAACTATGCTTTTCAATATTTTACCAAGGAAAAATAACGTCAGTAGCACAATTCTAGTTTGTTTGTTTGTTTTTTTTTAATATTCTTCATGCTCAAAACAGAACCTGTTAAGGAACCTTATATCACATAAGAAATATACAGGCAAGTAGGTTTTAGCAAAGGAAACATGCAGCTGTTGGGCTGGATTGGATTTAAGAACTATTTGAAGAAAATACAAAATCTAGTCTTATAGATGCTCCTTACAACTTTCCAGTTGAGTTACAAAGAGCAATTTTCAGCAAAGTCTGCTTGCTTTGGACATACCTGTTTTATTTCTTTTGTTTGTCCATAAGAATGGAGGCATTTCTTTTCTCATTCCTTTAGATTCTCTATCTGTTTGGTTGAAATTCAGGTTTTGAAGCTCATCCGTGTCAACAAATAAATCAGAGAGAAAAGCACCAGGTGCAAATGAATTCCTCAGGCCTGTGGATGATGAGTCATTCCATGGGGTCTGGTCAATCTGAATTTCTGGGCTTCTAAATGCAGTGTCTCTAAATTCTTCTAGAATACTCTTGGAGCCCTCCTGAGGTGCAAAGTCACTGAAAGTTGCCAAGAAATCCTGTTTTTCAGAGTCTTTGGAGGAACGGTCGGAAGTGTCATGCGTCCTCAAACGTTGTCTTTGAACATGAAGGGAATTCGTAACATCTAGATGAGCAAAATCTTGGTAGTTCTGTGATATGGCAAAGAAATTCTGCTTCTTCTTTTTAAATACTTCTGAAGAACATACCTTCTTTTGCATACAGCTTTGAAGATCAGACTTAAACAATCCCTTATGCTGATTCAGTGGAGGAATTAAGGCCTCAGATTTCACATCAGATGTTCCTGGTGGAGAAAAATTTGAACCATTTTATTTGGAGACTGAAAAATCAGCTTATTTGTCTACACTTTACAGAAAACCCAGATGCCATGGAGCATTTTGATTACAGTCTGTCTCCCCAGAATAACTAACATGATTAGAAGATAAAGATTCTAAAGCACTCAGATTGGTTTCAAATGAGACAACACATTTCCCTAGTAATTCAAGATACTACCTGCACTTTTTTGTGCCTTATCAAGCAGCTCTAAAGTCTGATCAGCATAGAATGTACTGAAGGTACTCTGTTTTTCTAGGTGTGATGCACCTTTCCCTGTGTTTTCCAGTGGAGCAGCAGCATTTAGGCTGTATGAAGATACGTCACTAAAACACTGAAACAATAAAGAAAAGAGGAATGTTTATAGTACATGACTACACTGTCAAATACGAAAAATTAAACCAGTTGTTAGGATCCTAAGATGTGTAAGTTTTTGTTTACTGGAACCAAGAAAAAAGAATTGCCAATACAGGAGAGGCATGTACAGTAGACAATCTGCCACCTGTCTTAAATCTGTAAACAGAGTAAGTAATAGTCTCTCACTTGAAACACAGGAAAATCAATACCTTAATGTAGTTTATATTTTTTCATTAGTCCAGGACTGTAGGAAGCAGTGTCTGTAATGGATTGGCACAGATCAAGCACAATAGAGTAATTTAACTGATGAGATATTTTTCTGTTGTTTTGGGTTTTTTTCAGTCAATAAACATGGCTTTACACAATAGTTACTATTAACTATATACACCTACTACAGTAGTATGCACAATTTGATATTCTGTGCCCAAATCTCTGTTCACTTGCTCCTTCACCTTAACTGAATGCTTCATCTTAAATGAATGGTGTCCCCCACCATTTTCTTGCAGGATGAAAGCTGTGCATTTTTAAACTCTAATTAGCTGACTATCATCAGTCCATAATTTTCCCAGACTTAGCCCAACCGAAACAGCAGGAGGACACAGTTCTTCATCTTAACCTCTAGGGCTCTGTCAAATGCTTAGTACTACGAATTCATAAGTGGTGACTTGACAAAATCAGCATAGAATCAGCAGGCTCAACGTCTGAGATACAAATGACATGCTAAAGCATATAACTCATTTTTAAGTGATACTAGCAAATGCACTTTTAGTATCAGCTTAAAAAATCCCAACCAGTCACATATTACAACAGTACAAAAATATTGATCTAACACATAAAATAATTTTGGCCAACCTTTAAAACTTTTTTTGGAACCTTTGGCAGAAGTTCCTGAAGTTGATCAAAGCTTGCAAGAAACAACCTGTTCAGCGAAGATCCCTTCTTTAACATAAGCTGAGCAACCAGAGGGTTGATACATGGAAAAGTAAGCAGCTGTTTCTCTGTCTGGAAATGGATATTAATTGGTTACATTGACATCTGATAAATTTCTCCTCCTTTTTTTCTGTTTCTACAGAATCACATCCTTATGAATAGGTCATACAATATACCACAGAAACAGAGCTCTCAAACTGTGCGTTCATGGTCTCAGGGTTTTTTTACCCCAGATGTAACAGAGTATCATTTTTTAAGAAGAGTGAGTCGGGCACAACAGTTTGACAAAAAGCAAGCACAGTATAAAGATGTTTATTTTCTAAAGGACGAAGCTCGTGAATCATGCAAACTTGATTTGAAAATGCATTACCAGGTTTACCATTAATTCTCCATTTTAAAGTGAATTACCTAAACCAAGGTAAATTGACAAAACTGCTTTTGTTTTACAAAAGTTACATTTGTAAGCAGTGAGGAACAGGTGCCAAATGCTGGGGTGAATGTCACACACAGGGCAAGTTGAGAGCTGTAGCATGTTATGAATATCGACTTCCAGTTCCTTACTTTCATAAAGCTTTGTGCTTAACAGAGGTAAGGATCAAGTATCTTTAACAGAGACAAAATAAAATTACTCCTCTCAATTTTTTAACAGTATCCTTAACCTCTAAATTGGAAAACCTATAATCCAGTATCCCACAGTTGAAAGGCCATGCCAATACCTGCTCCATAATGTTTCTGAATTTTGCAAAAACCAGAAACTATCTCAGCTTTACAAGAGTTCAAAGCTTTCACATAAAATGAACAAATCCATATGTTTAACTTGAAAACATTACAAGTTAAAGAACATCATGTATTTGACTGTGATTGATGAACCTGTTCTAGCATTTATTGTAAATATCCAATACCAACTACTGCATGAGAAGTTAAACAAATTGCTACTATCTGATATTAAAGCAAGTTGGTAAGCAATGCCATTGGCTTCAGTTGTGGATCAGCACTGATGAATTTGGCTTCCTGCCCAAGTGAGCCATTGTATGCTTCTCTTTCACAATTTGGATGTTTTTTTAATCTCAGTGCCTAGAACTGCAGAACTGTACACACTGACAGGCAGGTGTGGACGATAAACTTCTCCACAGGTTAACTGTGAAAGCATGCGGAAATTCTGAGTTCCATTTAATTGTGCTGGCATGGAAACATTATACATACACATCTATGCATATATACATATGCATACATATTAAAAATAAACATGTGTGTACATATAAATATATATATACTGCTTATTTTAATAATACATTTTCAGAGAACAATAGCAACAACAACAGAAAAACCCTAGAACTTTATGAGTGTGAGAAACAATAAGAAAACTGTAAATTCATGGGAAGATAAGCAAACCTCAGATGGCAAGACAGAAAGCCAGGATTTGTCCAGCCATTCATGAGGACAGATACTGGATTCCATCAAAATGTTGTCAGCAATCTGACGAATTACCAGTGCTGTTTCTTCAATCCCTGGCACAAGAACTACCTAAAAGCGACACATAATATTTTGGTTAAAACTTATACTAAGGACTTTCTAAATTTGCTACAGATGTTGAGGTTAAAGCTGAAGGTGACCCTTAACACCACAACTGGCAATGTGGAGTAATTGAACCTGATCCATGCTTATCATGTGGAGGAGCTCCAGCCTCTGACCACTAGCCTGGTGGCAAATTGCACTTCTTATTTATGCAAATCCTATGTGGGTGAAATGAATTTATCCTGTAGGTCTTTCACATATGATCATATTTATGGGTATAATATGAGTTCCTAATAAAACATGCAATTCTGAGATGCCTAATATAGTTTAAGAAGATGAATAACATTTTGAAGGTATAATTTCCACACAAACTACATTGCTGAGTACATGAAATGAAAAACTTTGTCCTCTCTTTAATTTCATTTAACAAGGTAAATTTTATACAAATTTTAATATGCAAATAAGTGAAAAATTGCCTAAAGAGATATTATTTCAATCAAAAAAGCAATTTACAGAGATCAACTTGGTAAGCTAAATGAAACTTCTATCCCATGTTTCAAAGCTGACTAGTCTAGATACTGCATTTTCTGTCTTAAAAAGTTAATTTATCTTGTCACATAAAGAACGCAATTTAGCTGACAACAAGGAAAATTATACTTGCTTTTTTCTACTACATCAGTAACATAATATTGATCTGAAATTTAAGACATAAGCAGAATTAATATATGCTATAATAATTTATTAAAGCTATAATCTCATTTTTGAGTGCTAATCTTAAAAACACTTCAACTGCAATTTGAATCTGATTTTATTTGTACTGCAGTCAACACAATCTTTTTGCTGACTTTAGCAGCACTGAATTAACATCCTCTCTCTTATTTCAGTAATTTTGAGCTATTTTCTGGCTTTGATGTAGAATGCATATGTGATTGAGCTCTTTAGAAATATCATACAGTGAAGATTAAAACCAAAGAGATTTACCTTCACTTCAAAGTCTTCTGACTTCTGTGTAAGTTCAATCAGAGTGGCATAAATTAAGACAAGGTTAAGCACGGTATCTCCCTTGAGACTATACCTGTAAAATAGTTTCACTGGACCATTAGTACAAGTTTACAATGATTTCTTTATCTCTTGTGTAAGACTAAAAATATCCAAGCAAATAACAAACATCTTTGCTAACTTTTTGGAGGTCTCCAGTGGTCTCTGTTACTTTTATCATTTCACTGAGTTTTTCAGTAGGAGCACAACACCACTGTAACTAAGCAAAAAGTCCAAAGCACACCAGAAATAGGAGCATGCAATATCCATCTTGTGCTAAGGGAAATGTATTCCTACAGAGAAGTTCAAAGAACAAGGAGTATCAACTTGTTCTAATGAGCAGCTTCCTTTAGTGATGTTTGTTTTTAAAATATCAAGAGAACAAAAGGATTTCATAACTTACTCTAAACTCAGTCTTTCTCTGGAATAGAGAACAACCCAACAGCACATATATTGGAGTGATAATGCCACCAGCCTCGAAATTACAATGTCACAGGAATTCTCGTAATTCAGTTCTTCTATAGCCTACCATAAAATGTAAGTAAAAAGTAAGAGCTCAATAAACACATTACCATGGCTGTCCCAAGCTTTCACTGTGCATTGCTATATTATGCAGAAGCTATTTCAAACATAAATACAGCTACATGAAGTAAGTACTAAGGACTGTCCAAGGACACATATGGATATTGGGAGAACCAGCTTCTAGTCCCAACTTTTACTGTCCTTGACCTTTAAAAAGCTGATTCACTGCTTCATGCCTCTTTTTCCTTCCTCTAAAAAGGAAACACTGCCACTAATTTTTAGTATGTTCTTCAGATTTCTGTGAACCTTAATAATGCAAAACACTGTTATAAACCTCTGAGGTACTTACTTAACCTATACAAATCCTATTACACCTACACTGACTATATAAAGTACATTGCTAATTACAGTAGCATGTAGGAATGTCTGTGTTGTGCTTGTAATACTAATTATTATATTAATTATTATCTTTCAGAAGCAGTTGTTCTACCTGTACAATAATCTGCCTTGATGCATGCCAGAATTTAAGTACTATGCTATTGTTTAAACTGGTTTGTTTTTTGGTTTTTTTTTTTAAAGTAGGACAAATTATTCTCTAGACTAATTCAGAAAACAATCTGAAATGGCAGGAATTAACATGCACACTGGTAAGAGAATATAGGCACAGATGCATTTAATTGGTCATTACAATATTCCTTTCTACAACCCTGTTTTCCAGTATGCATCCTTTAACTTCATTTAATACAGTCAAATCACAGGTCAAATGTTACACATATGTGAGGAACCAGAGGACATTTTAAACTAGTCAAACTGGCACAGACAGAATTTTGGACTTAATGGACACACAACAGAGTTTGGATACAGCAGTTTCATTTTGTACCTGCAAAAATATAGCCGTACTTTCATCTATGGTCAACACAACATAGTGATCTACACTTCCAAAGAGCCTTAAGGAGTAACTACTGCTTCTTTCAACAAAGGAAATGCTGTACCTGAAGAAGAAAAATCATTTTATGAAATCTCAGTTAAGTAAAATAATATTATTTTCTTAAAGGAAATTAATAACTTATACCTCTTAATAGATCTTTTTAGCTTACACACTGTCTTTTCATACCTTGATCTTTCTCAAATGTTCAAATTCACTTTAAGACACATCAATGTAGCAGTGACTTAATGAAATATTAATAGATTAATTATGTTGTTAACCACGCTGAAAATGGCCCGATATACAGCCTTTGAGTATACAAAAATAAAAAAAAAGGGATCTAATACAGGAACTAAGATAGATAAATTAAGAAAATACGCTTAGAAACTCTTTTTGACTAACTGCATTCCGTGTTTCTTTTCCACCTTTCATGATGGTGCAGCACGGGGAAAACCAACTTAGTGAAAACTCCCTGACTGTCATTGGTGTGTTCCTGAATTTTTCTGAGTGACAGAACTGCCAGCAGCAGAGCCTCCTGCTGTGTTTCACTAGGAAACACAAGAGACCTAAACCTGAATCTGCCAGCAGTAAGTCCTCTAGAGACTCCTATGAACAGTGTATTCAGACGTTAAACAAAAAGTAAACCATAAGCCTTTCGGAAACTGTATAGCTCTTTGTCACCTACTTCATCAATGCTAAAAGGAGCTAGTGAGAAAGTACCAGAAAAGCACTCCTGGTTATTTAGCATACAGCCAGGCTGAACAGAGAATTTGAACAGGTCAGAGTTTGAAAGTGTCTCAGTGTCATATTATATGTTCAAATCTTAAATGTCAAA